GGCAAATAAAAGTTTTCGATTAATTCATCATCAGGCAGTACAGTAGTATAAGGGAGGGTAGAGTTAGCGAAGGTTTAAGGCAAACCCAACAAAACTCGAGACGAGGACCACGGGACGACATGAACTAATTGTCAGACTCCTTCCTCTTCACTTCCTCCCCCACCTCCTTTCTCTGGTCCCCAATTAAGACTAGAATCTCATCCCTTTGATCCCTTTACAACTCTCTCCCCCTTTCCTCTTCTTACTACTGATTGGTTTGCCTAAAACTTTTGTTAACTCTATCCTCCCTTATATGACTGTATTGCTTGATGATGAATTAATCGAAAACATTCGTTCGCCTAACTTGACTTCCTGAATCCTAATCATTTAAGGTAACAGGCTCATTGACATCAAGGGGGCCAGCTGGCTCCTTGTTACCCAATCAATGGTTTTCAGCTTCAACTAACATAATAATTACACTAGTTAGCTCCAATTACTTAGATAATTATACTCTTTATGTGGATTCTGGACGCATTTTAATGTGCAATTTCGGTTAAGCACTGAAAATGTCCTCAGAAGTTGTCAAGCGAACTGGCAGAAATATCGTCGGAGTCAGACGAAATGTACTCGCTCAGGATTTTATTCCAGGATTCGGGAGATAGCCACAGACTTTGCCATAGTAATTACAAAGGGTTTCAATGTGTGAATATAGTAGGAATATATCGCTTTATGTAAAATGGTTTTTTCTACTTCACCCATAAAGCTAGTACTAACGAATTCGATAAATTCTACTCCCTGCTGAGGCACCTTGAATACCGTTCGCAAAATTTAATGCCAGGGCTGTTGTCTAGCACATGGGTATGGTGGCTGTTCAACCAGTTTTTCATATACATAGTAGAGGGTGCTACAGTATTTGAAAGCGAGAGCACTATGCGCCTGATCGGTTTTTTATTCAACGACAGCTTAAAGTTGGGACTATTTATGAGAAATGCTGTTCCGATTATTACTCTTGGTTATTTTTGGTAAGTCATAAGGAGTTTATGAGGTCAAAGTTGCTACACTACGGCCAACTGATGACTCGAATTCCATTCAGCTCTTTTATGTAGCCACCGAGCACATATTCTCGAAACTCAAGTCTGAAGGTTGGCAAGTTATGGTGAAATAATTTCTTTCTTTCATCCTATGTGAGCTATTTAGGAGCCAATTAAGCCGTAAAACTAAAAGGGCAATGGCTCCTTAGAGAAAGCGAGAAACCGGGATTGTTTTTCAGCCAAATTAAATTATTTTAATAATGCTGTGATTTAAGGAGACAAACCAATTGCAACACACCTGAGTGAATACCAATGCGCATGAGGATAGGAATGGTTGGCAAATAGGGAATAACAAAAAGTCCGCTTATGCTTAGCATCTCCAGGGCCATGTTCGCGATCTCACCAGCATGATTTCGTCCATTGCGTATCGGCAAACCAGAGGCCACCATATATGCATCACCAATAGTTTCAACCTACAAGATAGCAAACATTGAATGAAAAAACTATTAGATATTTTACCCACCTACTCGTAATTCTCACTTGACAGAAACTAAAATAAATCTTGGATTTAATATTTTAGGATTGCATATATATAATTACGAGAACTACATACTTTGTAAACATCAAACCTCTCAATGTTCGCATCAAAAACTGAGTAAAGACCGTTCAAGAGTTTGACTATTTGCAGCGGAGTAGACCTTGCAGAGATGGCGGAGAATCCGACAATGTCACTAAAGTAAATAGTCACTTCGTCGAAGGCCTCGGGATCCACGGACTCACCGGCAACCAGAGCCTGAGCCACGGATCTGATAAAACAAAATGCATGTGTCTCAGATCGATAACGACGGAAAGGCGGCAGTCATACTTACCTCGTAGCAATACAGATCTGATGAAATCCAAACAAACCTAGAATAAAAATTTGGTTTTCAAAAACCACTTGTTTCATCCTGACCAGAAACCATATAATTCGACTAATTAACAAATATCTGAAATTAAATAATAAACTTCACGAATAATCTGTCGTAACTAATATCCGGAGAGGCGTATAGTCTTTGAACTCTGTACACAGCGATAAGGATTCATACTGGATTGACAACAACTCTTCGGGAATACCGTATTGAATGAAGCAAATTTACTATAATGACGATTAAAAGATAAGCAGCAAACATTAATTAATCGATCGATGCAGCATCCCACCATATAGCCTTCTATCTTGTCCATTAACCGCCCATCAACTTAATTACCGGTTCTTAAACGACAAAAGTTCGACAGAATATTTTTTGTCCAGATAAGGCAATGCATTTGGATATATGCGTTCAGATGGGCCCTGATGTCGTTTGTGACAGACTAAATTTTAGAAATTTTCGATCATTTGTAGACTGGGTGGCCAGTAAGCTAAGAAACTGGCAGAGTTTTGCGTTTCTGACGGATCTTTTGATGGATTTCAAAAAGTTAAGTAATCTGCTTGTCCAAAATATTATTCGATCGAGCTATTTTGGTTACAACAAAACTCCGTTTCGTTCGATGGCAGGAACAGTTAGAGCTTGTACGCTTACAAGGCCTTAAAGCAACTATTGTGTTTATCTTGGTCTAAAATGTATTGAACTGAGCATTAAAGCCAGTTGCGATGATAAAGATTTCTGCAAATTATCTCCGTACGCACCCGGGTTACAGGTTTCTTGAGAAAACGTCGTGACTGCTAACAGGCAAAGAAGTGGTTGTCCCCAAAATATTCATCTGCCTACGGAGAAATTCACTTATTTTGGACGACAAATATACGATTATCAAGTCCTCGTTTGCATTAACTGATTGTATTATTGTGACTGTACAAAATATACCGTTAGTGGCTGATCTCATGAACTATTAACCGAAATTTGGAAAGGTGGTTTTGACTAGCGAGAATTACTTAAGTAGTATTGTAACATTTTTTACTGTGGAGCATCATCCCAAAATATTTCAGACACCCTAGCAAGTCTGCTTTTGAATTTACGTCTTTTCCTTCACCTGAAATAGCTGCACCCCATAAAACAAATCTTACTATATAGAACTCGAGTGTGGCAACAGTTTCTGCGGCTATACTGGAGTCAGGTGTCCGCGACTGACGAAGGGAAATCACCCAGAAATATGCGTATCTCGCGGTCCTAACGTTTGCCAGTAATACATTGGATATAGAATACATTTTTATATTGAGATGCTATGGTGCCGAACTTTCGTTTAGGGTTTTCAGTCTACAAGCTGTATGCTTTCAGAGTAAGAAAAATCTTATATTCTTCTATGATATTAAGAAGACACCCAACAGTGCTCATATAATTGCCCAATGGATGTGGACTATGTTGTGAAGTTCAGGCCGATTGATAGACGAAAAGACGATGCGACTTGGATGGGCATTAGACGGGCTTTACAATTTTCAAAATTATAAATATTTTATTTCAACCGAAACCTAATATTTCTTCGAATATAAAATGTGAAGAAGTTGTGACTTGCTATCGGTATAGCGCAAGAATGAATATGTATAATCGTGATGTCTGTAAAATATTTTAGAATTTGTAAGGTCATCAAAAATCAATATAAAAATGCAGTCAACTCAACTGTTATTCCTATTCGGGTGCCATTTTTGCCGGAAAGATGTACATTTGAGAGCCGGCCTCCTACAGTGCCGGAATTATCTTAGGATAGTGCTCCAATTAAGTACTCCTCCCTAACCGTAACCGCAGTTCAGAATTTCGGTTGGCAGTTCATGACATCAGTCACTGACTGTCTATACTCCTCTTCAATTTTTCCGTTTTGCTTAAGGTCAAAAAATAACAATTTTCATGGTATGCTTTCAGGTTTGAAGCACTGCCTTTCCAAAAATTGTGTCTGCCCGTCGACATTTCTGAGTGACTTGCCTTTGGCCAGTTCGCTTTCTTTTCCATGACAGTGTTTTGAATCTGAACTAATGTAGGACAATGTCATTTTTCTGTCGAAGTAAAATGGCAAAGCCGAGAGAGAGAGAGAGCGAAGAACACCGGCTATCTCAGATTCATGCATGTCCTCCAACGAATGCACGCTACCGCATGCAAAGTAAACAGCTCGAAAACTCCATAGATTATGGTTAACAGATTATGGTTTAGTAGGATTACAGAATGAAATTTCTGTTAGAGTGACAGGTGGAGTGAGTCTTCGAAAGAGCCAGTCAAAGCTGTCAAACTTAGAACATACAGTGGTAGCATCTTCGCGATGAGGGCTTCAGTTTTCCGCTTTTCTTCTTCTAGTTCATCTGTCCGCGCTTGTATTTGGGCCTCCAGGTCTGCCGAATACAGTTCCATCATATACATCATATGGTCCATGATGTTACCCTTTCTACAAAACAGGTAGAGAAGACGGGCACTCTGGTGCACAGTAATGGCTTAGAAAAATCGCAGAGGATCTGCTAACATATAACAACGGCAGTTTAAATCTCCAGAGGGTAGACCAGCTACGCGCTGTCAGTTTTCTGTTTCAGCATTTTTGCTTGTTTAATCATTTGAATATAATATTCATATCTCGCGTTAAAGACGACATACCGAAAGACCAACAAACCAATGTGATTTAGCGCACTCCGTGTGCTGATTGCCACAGCGTTTACATATGTCATACAGGTCGGAAACTCGGGACCCGAATATATGAAAATCAGCTGGCTATCCACAGACGTGATCCGTTGTCTCTCATGTTCGCGCACACTATTGATAATGACCACCGCTTCAATTGGGACGGAACTGAAGTGGTCGCCACGGCT